AATAAGGGATAGAAACATTTGACAGAAAATAAGGAAGGAAATAGAGAGCTTGAACAGTACAATAAACTAGATCTAACACATACACAGAACATACTATCAAAAACAGAAAATAATGCACATTTCAGAAGGAAGGATTTGAAAGTATTCTCAATAAAGAAATGATAAATTTTTGAGGAGACAGATAAGTTTAACATGATTTAAACATTAAACGGTGTAGATATGCATAAAAACATTACATGGTATTCCATTAAAATATGCACAATTTTTATGTTTTTAACTATCACTTAAAAAACAAATTAAAGGGTCAGGCATGGTAGCACACACCTACAAGCCGCGGACCTGCCGAGGCAAACTGAAAGGAACCTGAAACAGGGCGTGAGGATTGAAAGAAAGAAGACGGGAGGGCTCCCAGTTACCGAGCAACTTTATTGACTTTACTATTCTCTTTTAGAGCACTCAAGAATAGAAAACATCTTACATAAGGCACATCTGGAAATTCCCCAGGCCTTGAGACAGTCTCGTGTTTTCTTTTCCCTAGCTCCATGTCGTTGTGCTGTTCTTATCACTTTCTCCTGTGCCCAGCTTCTTCAGAGCTGGGCAGCAAGCTCTACAATATTTCACTTAACCCTTTCATAGGAAATCCAAGTTGCCCATCTTAATACTTATAGAGCTGTTGGCTCTCCACACCTATAATCCCAGCTCTTGGAAGGCTGAGGCAGGAGGATCGCCATAAGTTCAAGGGCAGCCTGGGCTACATAGTGAACTCAAGGCCAGCATGAACTACATAGCGAGTGTCTGTCACCAAAAAAAAAATTAAAATATATTTTTTCAAAACCAGAATATACATTCTGTTCAAGTGTACATGACACATTCTGTAGCTTAGACTACATGTCAGGCCACAAATCTAACCTCAATATATTTTAAAAGATATATATTACACAAAGTATCTTCTCTGACCACAATAGGATAAAGTTAGGAAAACCGGAAAATCCACTAATTTGTGGGAACAAACACATTCTTAAACAACTAATGGGTCAAAGAAGGAATCACAAGGTAAATTAAAAATACTTTGAACAATCAAAAATGAAAACACAGCAAAATGTATAGAACACAGCCCGGGAAATGGGAGCTTAGACAGCCCCTGAGGCATCTGAGAGGGACATGTGGGATACAGGCCTTGGCAGAAAGGGAGACTTGCTGTGTCTCTGGGTCCTCACCTGAAGCCAGTGGCCCTACATTTCTTCCAAGGTAAAAGAGGAAAAGACAATTCTAATTTTTCTGGGGATAGTGGAGCTCTCATGAGAATATTTCCAGGTCTCCTTAGGGGAAAAGTTAAACTGATGTTGTCAGGTTTGAGGAAAAGTTCAGTGCCCCATGGTGCTTCTCTGCTTATACTTGGAGCTGTTTCAGGTGCTGGAGACCAGTTTCTATGGCTGGGGACAGGATAGGGGTTGACATCTGGGCTGCTTGTGGCCCAGAACATCAGTGCCACTTGAGAGTATATGCCCATTCACAACCAAGAATTTGAGCCATAACAGTGGCTAACACTTCTTCCTATCACCAAAGCTGCCTAACAAAAGCAGCAGCACTGGATACTAAATGGAAAAAAAGACATACTTTGTGAATTTGGACTTGCTACAGATAAAAATATTGTAGTTCACCATCTAGCAGCCCAGTTTAGCTAATCAGAAAGGCATGGAGACCGAAAGTAGACTACCTTAGATTACATGCCAAGGCCACATAGGCAGGAAGCCAAAGAAATATCCCAAATACAGTTAAGCAAAACTCATTGGCCCTGGAGGCAGTCTAAAAAGGAAATCTAACTGCTAGTAGGCCTCTTTGGGTACTATAGACAACACATACTCCAGCTAAGTGATTTTTTGGCTCCCTTAGACAAGATGGCCAGCAAAGCCACCAACTTTAACTAAGCCCTTTGTAACATCAGATATTAGAAATAATTTAACAAACCACAGTCCAGGCTCTGCCTTTGGAACCTTTAGCATCTGGTAGTCTGATAGAAATGTATGTGTCTTCAACATCCATGCATACTGGAGTCTGTTGCAACAGAGAACTGCCACTGAGGTGTAGTAGCCTCTTGGATCTTGGACATGAAAGTTTCCCAAGTCAGCTGCCAGATATACTCCTTTTTTATCAACTCCTTGCTTGCTATTAGCCACTGGTGGAGACTTGGCTTCTTATAGCCAGAGTGCTCATGAAACACTGTGATACAACCTGACCATTCTCACTTGGGTACTTACAAACCTTGCCAATAAAATTGGACAGACTTAACAAAGCTCAGCCACTAAATGGACCAAAATGAGATCCAAGCTGGGAACTAGAAGGCCTCATGAAAAAATGGCTAGCTTGTCAGAAGAAACTAAGTGACCTGTAGAGGTTGCTTTGGCTTCTACTGCAGCTACTGGGAATCCAAGGCTCAAAAACACACCTATTGATGGAGTGGTATGGTTTATTAATGCCTCTTCAAAACTAAAAGCAGACAGAGTCCACTGTGTTGCAGCCAACGCCCAGTGGATGATCATCTTTTGACTGAGACTGGACATGGACATTTGGCTCAATGGGCCAAGCAACATGCAGTGGTAATGACCATGCAGGCCACTCCTACCACCATATTTTACCACATTTTTGCTGACTATTGAGTCATTGCCATCAGCTCATCTGGTCTGGAGAATGGTAACTGAGTGACTTTAAAGACCCCCAGTGTGGAAATAAGAACTATGGCAATAGCTTGCTACCTGGACGCTGGAAAGGACAAATACATATGTGAATGCTGGAACTTCCACAGCTGCCCTTGTGAGGAGCTTAGATCATGCTTTTGGATACCCTATAGGACATCACTCTGACCAAAGAACATCTTCACAGCCCACGCGACACAACAATCAGTGCACTCTAACAAAATCAGTGGACTTCCTGTGCACCTTGTCATCTGATGCCTAATGGACCTACTGAATGATGGAACAGCTAACTTAAGGACATCAAGATGGTCTGCTATTTGGGTAGTACTACTGTATGTTTAGGGCAGTACAGACACTAAACACTGAACTCCAGCACAAGGAAAACAGCATTACAGCGCATATTGAGAAACACCGAGCTTGGTGAGAGAAGTGCTGTACCAGCAAAATCTCAATCTCGGTGTTCCCAGCAATTCTTTTCCCTTTCCCCAGTACAGCATATTCCTTGAGGGTGATTTGAGGTTCAGTTTGGGCACTCGGTCTCTAAAAGGTTTACCATTACTATTCTAGGGCCAATAGCCTAAATCTATATACCAGGCTTAGTTCCTCAGATAAGACTAACTCTAAGCCAGATATGAAACTTCCCGCAGTGCCTCCCCTCTATGGGATTTTGCAGGGATGGCAAACAAAACCAAAGAATACCAGGGTACCGGGATCTCTCTAGTAGCACCAGGAGCATCTGATCTTTCCAATCAGGTGGGCAGCATTATCAGACGTGTCGAGTTTATACATGTTGTACCCTCCTTTGCTGGTCTGTGTGACTGAGACTGAAAGGTTTGGGTCAAACAACAAAGGCTATGGATGCCCACAGAGGTAGCAACCTCAGGACTGAAACAGATAGCCTAGGTCACTATACCAACTCAGCCTAACCCCTACCCAATAGGTGGAAAATACCTAAGATGCTGGGAGGAGGAGAAAGGAACACTAACCAGTCAATCTATTTCTTCAACAAAGACTTCAGTGGGGCCCTGGAAACATAATTCCTTCTTTAGGCTCTCCAAAGATGTGGCCACTCTGAATGAATGTTGAACCTGCCACTCTGAACCTCATTGCTTCACAGTGATCTTTATATCCTGTCAATGATAAACTACACCAGGGCTATAGTTTGGATCTGAAATGTCCCCCAAAGTTTCATGTATGAAAAGTTTGGTCCCCAGCCCACAATGCTATTGGGAGGTAATGGGACATTTAGGAGGTGCAGTCTAGCAAGAGAAAGTTAGATCATTGGGGGAATGCCCTGCAAAAGGATTTGGGGACCCTAGCCCCTCTGCTTTCTCTCTCTGTGCTTTCTGGCTGCCATGCAGTGAGCAGCTTCCTCTGCCATCATGTACTGACTGCCTTGCCACAGATCAAAGAAGAAATGATGCCAATCAATTATGAAATGAAACCTCCAAACTGTGAGCCAAAATAAACTTTTCCTCTTTAGAGTTGATTATCTTAAGTATGTGTTATAGTAATGCAAAATAATGATAACAGGGCCAGCATTCCAACATCACAGTGTCCACCAACAGAACCCAAGCCCTAGCTTAACAGGTTATGGAAGATCTAGCATCTGACACATGGTAGTCAATGGTCCCATTTTAACTTAACTAATTCTGTGAACAAAACATCACAGCCACAACTAACAAAACTCTGCTAGATGCATCATACTCTTTTGATTATATACACAAGAAGTATCACCATGGTGATGATGAAAACAAGGACTGAACTGTTCCTGGCCCTCTGTGTAGGGCCTTTGTGAACAATATTGTATAGGAGAAACTGAGTTCATGCAACTCTGCCAAAAATGAGACTTGGCCTGTAAACACCAACACCTCCATGCTCATGAGTAGGTCACTGAGAAATAAAACAAAGGAGGAGAGGGTGTGCATTCCAGGACTACATCTTTCTCTGCAGACCATCTACAGGTACCTAAATACAAGATGAGCAATGTCATACCTGAACATTGCTAGAAAGCTGGAAGATGGTGATCTTGCACTTTGGACATACTGGAGATACCCCCAAATGTCACCCCTGAGAATGAGTCACATCCCAGGGCCAACAGCCTAAATCTATAGACCAGGCTTAGTAGAAGCCTGCCACAGTCAGTGTTTATGAAAAAAGAAACATACCTGGCTGTGTCAGATAGCTTTTTCTACTAACACTACCTTAGCATCCCAGAAAACATCTCTCAGCAACCTCAGGAAAGTTGTTCTAAGCAACAGAATTGCTTTACACTTTTATTTGGTTCAGCTGCCAGGGTATTGGGGAATTAAGCCTCAACAGGAGTTTTGGCAGCAAAGGACCACATTCAAACTGTAGCAAGAAGGAAATTACCTCAACATACCAAAGGCCATGTATGAAAATCCCACGACTAATTTGGTCAGTGGTAAAGGACTGAAAGTTTTTCCTCTAAGATCAGGAATAAGACAAGGATGCCGCTTTTCACTACTTCTGTTCAGAATAATATTGGAAGTCCTACCTACAGAAAGAAAAAAATGGAATCAGATCACATCAAAAATAAAAACTTTTGGGCCAGGGATCTAGCTCAGTGGTGCTGCCACCTGCCTTGCAAGCCCAAGGTCCCAAGTTCAATCCCTGGTACCAAAATAAAAAATAAATAAATAAAAATAAAAACTTTTATGCATCAAAGAACCAAAAAAAAAAAGTCAAAAGATAACCTACAAAAATGGGAAAAGAAAATCTTTGTAAATGATATCTGATAAGATATTAAGCAAACCTGGCAGGATGTTAAAAATTAGTGAATCTAGATAAAGAGTACACTGGGGTCCTTTGTGTTATTCTTTCAACTTTTTTGTACATTTGGAATCATTTTTTTAAAAGGTCAAGGAATAAAAAGATACTAAATCCAGAGTATATACGAAACACAACAAAAAGACCAAAAAATATTGAAAATGGGCAAAAGATTTGAATAGGCATTTTTCCAAAGAAGATACACAGACAGCCTACAAGAATATAAAAGGATGCTCCTCCTGACTAATCATTAGGGGAATGCACATCAAAACTACGATGAGATAGCACTTCATAACCAACAGGGGTGCCACTATCAGAAAAGCTGGTGAGAATGTGAAGAAATTAGAAACCTTGCACATTGTTGGTGGGAATGTACAGTTGTGCAGCTACTATGGAAAATAGTGTGATGGTTCCTCAAACAATTAATAATAGAATGACCATACGACCCAGCAACTCTGAGACAGAGGAGAAGCAACTGACTCTCACTCTCCCCTGTGCTTGCTGAATGAGGGACATGGCTTAGCCAGTGGCCAGCCTACCCTCACCTGCTTCCCTTTGCTCCCTCCTTCCCTTTGCTCCTCTTGCCATGGAATGGAACAGTTTGCTTCAGTGTCCTCCTCCCTGGCTATCAAACCACCATTCTCCACTCCAAGATGAGTGCAGCCAGGAAGGCACTGTGGTGCCCCTCCTCCACACTCACCACTTCAGATGATTCTCTGGGGTTACCCTGGAGTGGCTAAGATCTGAAAGGGAAGGATCTGGGACCCTTATTTGCATGTCCAACATTCAGAACAAGCTTTCAGCTCTGCTTCTCAATAACACAGGCCTGCAGCTGCTGTACAAGTAGCACTGCCCGGGCACTTCTCCAGTCTTGGTCTAAGAAGCCTTCCTCCTCTATACTGACTTCCCATCTGCAAACCTGTCATGATTTATTTCTCAGGTGGTGTGGGCCCCAAAAGTCCTGGAAATCTACTTGGGATCTTTATCTTCAGTAGCATGGACAGAACAATCATTTCAAAAGAAAGAGTAGCTGGGTACAATGGTGCACTCCTGTGATCCCAGCACTTGGGAGGCTGAGACAGGGAAATCGCTGTGAGTTCGAGGCCAGCCTAAACTATATAGTGAGACCCTGCCTCCAAAAAAACGCAATAAACACTCAGAGTTGTTAGCACCAAAGATCTCTCAGTAAACACCTGGTATGGTCAGGCAATGGCAGTCAGTATCCAGTGTCACCTGGTGACATCAGGACAGCTAGCAGAGCTGTACTTTGCTGATTCACTATTTCAATGATTTCCATCTGTAATAGTTAATTGATTGTGTCAACCTGAGTAAGAAACCCCCAACTAAATTGGATCAGCATAATTCTGGGTGTGGCTGCAGGGATTTACTGAAGACCAAAGACCGACCCTGGGTGTGAGTGGCAACCACCAGTAAGCTTGTAGCCTGAATGTAATAAAAAGGAAATCAAGAAAGAAGGCTCACTTCGGTTTCTTCAGAGGAGCTCCAGTCTTCATCTTCACCTTGGACATCATCTCCTGGCTTCTATTGCAGACTCTTCAACCTTCCAGGGCAGATCCTTCAGCCTCATGATACAGATTTACCCGGGACTCTACAGTGAGCTACAGGCCTCGAATTCTGACGGGATCCTTTGGATTTCCAAAACACACAGCCCTTATGCACTCTTCTACACCTGACTCCGCAGGCAGTCATTGTAAGCCTATCTTGTAAATCTTTATATACTTCTTGTATATTCTGCATTAAGTCTGTTTCTCTCGTAAACACTGATACACCATCTGAATCGAACAAAAGAAACCTAGGCTGAGTCACAACAGTTTCACTTCTGGGCATACATCCAAAAGAATTGAAATCAGAATCTGATAGAAATATTTGTACATCTACATTTATAGGAGCATTATTCAAATAGCTAAAAAATTCAAATTTGCAACACAATATCAATTGACAAATAAATAGGTAAAATCAAAATGTGGTATATGCATTCATTGGAATATTATCCAGCCTTAAAAAGGAAACCCATGCTGGATGCAGTGGTACACATCTGTAATCTCAGCATTTAGGAGGCTGAGACAGGAGGATCACTGCAAGTTCAAGGTCAGCCTGGACTACACAGTGAGACTTTGTCTCAAAAAAAAAAAAAAAGAAAACCCTGACACATGCTATAACGTGGATGAATCTCTAAGACAGTGATGGCAAATCTTTTAGAGACTTAGTATCAAACTGCAACCCAAAACCCACTTCTTTATCACAAAGTGCCAACATTGAAACTAAACCTGAATACTGAGGTTTTTAGAAAAAAACAAGTCTAGCCAGGGATTTAGCTCAGTGGTTCTGCCACCTGCCTCTCAAGCACACGGTCCTGAGTTCAATCCCTAGTGCCAAAAAAAAGAAAAAGGAAAGAAACAACAAGTCTACATTAACATCTTTTGTCTTAAAAGAAAAACACAGTAACACATGTGCCATAGATTCACCACAACTGCTCTTAAGACATTATGCTGAGTTGAACAAGCGAGTCATAAAAAGACAAGCAACCTAGAATAATCAAATTCATAGAGATAGAAAGTAGAATTGGTGTTTTTTCAAGGGACAATGGGAGTGAGAAATGGGAATTTATTGTTTAATGAGTACAAGGTTTCTGTTTTGCAAGAAGAAAAAGTTCTGGAGATTGGGGCTGGAGATTTAGCTCAGTGGTTCTGCTGCCTGCCTCACAAGCACAAGGACCCTAGTTCAATTCCCAGTACCCCCCCCAAAAAAAAGTTCTGGAGATGGATGTGGTGATAACTACATATGTGCTTAGTGTCATTGAACTGTACACTTGAAAAAGTTAAAGTGGTAAACTGTATGTTATGTTTGTTTGGCTTGGGTTTTTTTTGGTACCAGATATTGAACTCGGGACCTTGCACTTGCAAGGCAGGCGCCGGAACCACTGAGCTAAATCCCCGGCCCAAATTGTATGTTATGTATATTTTACCATAATTTCAAAAATAAATCTTAAATCTTGTATTTAAAAAAGAGCAAAGAATGGCAGAGGCTACATGTTGCATAACTACACGAGACCGTTTACATAGTCTTCCTGGTGTTGGTCACCTGGCAACCATGGCATCCTAAATCACCCACCTGTGGCAGACATTGCTCATCAATCCCAAGCCCATTCAACCAGTGGCTAGGCTCTTAGAAACCTTCTCCACATGTGACCACCCCCAAAACCCCTGCGGATTCCTTAGAGCTGACTTGTGAGAAGCCTCACATCTGCCATCAATGGTTCCAACAATGACCTCTTGGAAATATGTCTGATAAAGAGATCTGGAGACACAGATGTAGCAGACCTGGTCATTCTTTTAATGGAAGGGGTATGCATTGGTGCACCTTACAAGCCTGTGAGCCCAGAGAGATTTCAAGCTGAATATTTAGTTGGTTATCTTTGAGTTCATACTCACCCTGAATAAAACCACGTGAATGGCAATTGTGCCAACGCCAATAGACCTGAATGATTCGGACAGCGTTTAAGAAACGACAGTACGACTGGCGGATGCGCCACATTCGGATCCAAGACTGCAGTTTGACGGCTGCCCATTCCCTCCGTGCATAGAACTCCAGCGCCATCCACCGCCTCTTCTCCAGCTGCCTCGCTTGTATCTGCCTCCACCAGCACTGAATGATCCAAACCCTGAGGGCTACATGCAGCAGCATCCATCGCAGAAGCGTGCCACGCCACCAGGCCTGGATAAACACAGCAGCAGACTCTCTTGTCATCTCTTTGGGGCCTTGGAAGAGAAAACAGAATTTTTACAAGCTTAAGAAACTCAGAATATACCAGGAAGGGGTCCTGTACCAACAGTGGCCCAATCCTCAGAAGTTCAGGAGCCCTGGGTGTGCACAACTGGACCCAAAAGACCAGGTAGGTGTCCTGCCTCTGCTATTCTCTGTTCAATGGACAAGGACCCAATACCTTTGGGCCTCAGTGCTCCTGTCTGTAAAATTGAGGTACACTTGCCCTAGCTACTGCACCAAATTTTCCAGACCTAGTTGGCCAGTCTAGAACAAGAACATCATGATTTAGAAGTAGAAGTGATTCAAGTTTCTCCTGGGCAGGGCCACTTACATGAGATTATCACCACCTCTTCAGAGCCCTTCCACCTGTGGGGAACTGGTATCCTTTGCTCATCCTGCCCCTCACCTCAGGTTAAACTCACAACCTGCTGTCCCTTCTGGATCACCCAAGCAGTAGAAGATTCCTCCACCTAACCCATGTTATCAACAGCTTAAACTTCAGTTAACACACACATTGGTATATACACACATGAAAACACACTAATCCACACATTTTACAATAGGGCTTCCCATACCCTGCCCCTTGCACTCCCCAAGTGCAGCCCTGACTTGTAGCTCCCAGCCCCACATGGTCTAGGCTCACACCCTTCTGCCTCCTTATCTCAGCCAGACCCATATCTGTCTACCTAAGAGGGAAATGAGGACAAGGATACCAAAGGAGGAGTCAGTCCCTATTCATCCCAGCTGTTTGTACCACAACCATTCACTCCAATCTGCCTGAAACACCCTGGGCTTATACCTACTATCCTGGTATACACGGACGATGGCAAGTGCCCCTCTCACTAAAATGTCTCTTTGGACAATAAATCACATGGTCACTCACAGTCCTCTAAGTCACTCCTTTGGACCACAAGAGTTAGAGATGTCACAGTCAAGGCTCTCCCCAGTGGCAGAGCATGGACCCACCTACCCACAAAGCTGGAGAAGGCATTGGCAGTGGGAGGAGGGGATTAGGGTGAGGGAGTCAATTCCCTCTTCACTGTTTTGCTCCTTCAGGCTCTGTTCTAGCAAGGGGATCTCATTATTATCTTCAGAGTTGTTTGCTGTCCTTTTGCATTGGAGTTGGCGGGGGCGTGGGGGGTAAGATAAGGGTGCTCTCCTTACCACTAGGTGCCAAGCCAACCACAGGCTTGGCTTCCTGGTCCTTTCTGGGATTCCAGACATGGAGGGAGAGCCCTCCCAATGTAACTATGGGAAACTTACCCTACTCTCTCAGAATGTTTGGGCAAATCTGTCTCTTACAAGAACACCCCTTACCCTGATGGATGGTCAAATCCCTGAAAGTTTTTACTCCACTAAATTACCCATGGTTAGGGGCTAGATGGTTCCATCACCCTCGGTCTGCACTCCTCCAGCCACAGTTTCAACAAAAAGAGTAAGGGAAAAAGAGCAATGATGTCATAAGGGTACCTATGACACAGGCACCAGGATGGCACCCGAAAGTTGAGCCCCTTCTAAGGAAAACTCAGAAGACTTGTCCTTACTTTCCTATAAGAATGACTACAAAATCATCTAAAATACTAACCCATTGGCACAAAGGTATATAAGGATGCTCATTACCTGGGTAGTATTCATTAAATGTTTTTTAGCTCATTTAAACAATGGTACATCAAATAAAAATTAGAATGAGTTTAATCTCTACATACTAATATAGAAGGGTATATGAGTTTAGTAGTGAAACAAATCAAAATGAAGAATAAAGTGACCCAAATATAAGGACATATTTATACACATGTGTTATAAAGACATTATCCCAAAAGGGGATGAGAAAAAAAGCAATGATCATCCCCAGTAGGGATAGTTTGAGGGAAGAGGATAATCTCCCTCACTGTGGCTAAACCCTCTATGTCTGGCCCGTCTACAAGCCCCCCGGTATCAGCCCCCTGAGAGATCAGGACACACACACAGCCCAGAAAGTCCCATGAAGTCCCCAGGACCATCTCTGGCTCAAATGGGTTTAAGTGCTCTTCTGTCTTCCTCTCCCTCTGAGAGCTCTGAGGCCACAATCAGATGGATAAGGCTTAGCACTGTCCAAGCAGGAACCCACCTCTGCCTGCACCCAGGCTCTAAAGACCCACCTGGATATTGTGAGGCCTGGGCCACCTTCAGAGTTGCAGTCCCAGAGGTCATTGAGGTGTGCACTTGGAATGGATGAGGTAAAGATGGGAGAGTCTGTGTGGTCTATAGGGAGAATACAGGGAAGAGGAAGAGGCCATGTGAAGCTGAAGTCATGTGAACCTGTTGGCGTGAAGTCAATGGGATGAGAAGGTAGGGGAGGAGAAAATGGGAAAATGATAGAGAAGTGCTATACAATAAGATGGGCCCTTGCCTTTCCTCCATTTTTTTCCCCACAGAATGTTTTGATTTAGAAATAAAAGTTTGTGCTGCTGGCCTCTTGCCCAGTGTATCAAAATGGTTTGTGACTGAACTGTGTGACCTTTCAGGAATGTTCTGTTAAGCTATGCCCCCTCACAAGAAGGTTCTGTTAAGATCTGCCCCTCTGCTTCAGGAATGTTCTGTAACTCCACCCCCTTTCAGTGAGCATGCTCACACAGCATGTGTTTCGGGAGTGTTCTGTAACTCTGCCCCCCTACTTCAGTGAGCTTGCTCACCTAACCTGTAGATCCCTACATAAGGAGGCTCTCATTTCTAGTAGAGCACTCAGACTCCTCTGAGCCCACCAGGGGCTTGCCGGTGTAATAAAGGCTTTTTCTCCACCTCTTCAACTGACTATCAGATTCTCAAGTCTTCAAATTATGAGAGCTGTGTTCCAGAGCCACCACACCGAGCTGTAAAGCTCAGCTGTGCCTCAGAGCTGCGACCCAGAGCTGCCACACTGAGCTGTAAAGCTCAGCTGTGCCTTCCTAGCTGTGGCACTTAGCTGTGACACTGAGCTGTAACACTTGGCTATAGCACAGAGCTGCTCTGCTCTGCCACAAAAATAGTAGGCTACCCTGTGTGGGACAGGACGGGTATAGGAAGCACTCATTTGAAGATGAAAATGTTGGCTAGGCCCTGGGAGATCTGTATCAGTTTAGTGCCTCCCTGTGATATAGGAGGTGAGATGTGGCAAAGCTGGCTGGAGAAGTGGGCAGGACTGTAAATTACAAAACCCCACCCAGGGCTGCGCCAGATGATTTTCAGGACACCACGAGATGTGGATAGCATAGAGAAGACCAAATGCCCCAAGGAGCTCGCTATCATGACTCTTGGTACCGGGGATCGAACTCAGGACCTTGCACTTGCGAGGCAGGTGGCGGAACCACTCAACTAAATCCCTGGCCCTCGCTATCATGACTCTTCATGGTAGCCCATGTTGGGTCTCCCAGACCTAGAGAGTGCTTTTATTTTTGCTCTTTTTCTTTTCCTCTTGTGTTCAGCCCAAGTTTGCTCAGCAGACCTAATTCTTCCCTTTCCTCTTTACCCCTCAATTTTTAATAAACTTTTGGCATCACTTTTGGCTTCTGTCATCCAATTCTTTGTTTGAAACAAGAAGGTCCTGGAATACTTCTGTTTGGCGAGCCATTTCTAAAGGAACTACTCGACAACAATGACTGCTGTATGGGTTCATCTACACTTACTCCTGGGCACTGTGACACCAGGAGAGCCTCCAGGGATCACTCAAGCAACAGCTCCCCTTCTCCTAACAATAACTATTCACTATTCCACCAGTATAGTGACTCTTTTCATTACCTGCACATTTCTTAGCAAAAGAATGAAGAGACCAGGTCACAGCCATGGCTTTAAATTTAATGGGACTTTGCTGCCACCTGTCTTGCAAGCGCAAGGTCCTGAGTTCAATCTCCAGTTCCAAAAAATAAATAAATAAATAAATTTAATGGGACTCTTACTGCAACCCCTGCTACACACCTCCCCTCCCTAGAATCTAATCAGACAGAACCTGAACCTTCAGGGACAGAAAGTGCAAATCCCCATGTGGATAATGAGTCCACTACCATTGCCACACACTGATTCCTAAGCACCTACTCACTAGGAACTGAACACCAGCCACATAATGAGCATTGACTGAGGGCATGAATTAGCATACCCGTAAGCAAAATCCAGCCAGCCAGGCATGGTGGTGCATGCCTGTAATCCCAGCACTTGGGAGGCTGAGGCAGGAGGATAGCCTCCAGTTCAAGGCCAGCCTGACTACAGAGTGAAACCCTGTCTCAAAAAAAAAAAAAAAAATCCAACTCATCGCCTGTTTTTGTGCTGCAAAGAATGGCTTTTTACATTTTTCCGTGGTTGAAAACATGCAGAATAGCAATATTTAGTAACATATGAAATTCAAATTTCTGTGTCCATTAAGTTTTATTTGAACCCCACTATGCTTATTATTTATATTTTGTCTATAACCACATTTGCACTACAATGACAGAGTTAAATAGTTGTGACAGAGATCATATGTGGCATTCTCATCATGCCCCCCTCCTACTCAGCACACCAAAACCACAGTGGTACAGTTGTGACCAGTGTTTTCTGTATCACACATACTGCTGTACTGTGATCTATTGCTTATTACCAGTGCTTATCATGTCAAAATAACAAGAGAAGAAGAAAGAAGACTTTAAATGTTACACTTTCAAGACAATGGCAAGCCAGGAGTGGGTGACATATGCCTGTAATCCCAGCACTCTGGGAGGTTGAAGCAAAAGGATGATCACAAGCCCGGCCTGGGCAATTTAGCAACTTAGCAAGACCTTGTCTCAAAATAAAAAACAAATAAAAGGGCTGAGGATGTAGGTCAGTGTGAAGCCCTGGTTCAATCCCCAGTACCACACACACACAAACACACACACACGCATACACACGCACACGACAATGGCAAAGCATTGTGTTCATTATGCAATGATGCTAAAGTGATGGTAAAAGAATACAATTACAATAGTATGTAATTACCAGATTTAGCAGTCCACAATATTTTTAACTC